CATGAAACAAAAAAAATTAATGGTGGATTTCACTAAACATGAGCAAATGTTGAGTGTCATGCTGTCAGTCATGAAAGTGAAACTAAAGAGACACGGACTTCTACAACAGAACAATGATCCGAAGCAGACCTCAAACTCTACTTTAGAAGTGGCTCTTTACTGATCCTCTCACTTGAATATAATTAAAAATGCGTGGGCAGATCCTAAACATGCTCTGTGCGCAACACCGCCTAAAGCTATCTCACAACTTAAAGTGATTTTGGAGTGGATGGAAAATTCCAAATCAAAAATAGAAACACTCTTTAAATGCCACTCAAAAAACATTTAACTCTATAGAACGGGATGCAAAATGTGTTTCCAAAGCGGTTATAACTGCCAAAGGGGGATTTTACTAAATGCTGACTCAGCGGGGCGCCCGAACTTCAACACATTTCACATTTAAGTTTAATTTTTTTTTTTTTTTTTAAAGTTCATAAAAAACAAGTTAACTGCATTAACATTTAAAGAAAGGCTCACTTTTAATGTCTGTTTGCTGCAGGGGTTGGATTTACTTCATTTCACTTCAAAAAATGCTTTTGCATACGGCTGTGTGCTTTATAGAACATGCAGTCGCTTTAACATAACGACTTGCTGCTAATGCCAGAAACAAACACGGAGAGCTGTTCAAGGTATACTAATAAATGCAACTTTTGTGATTACTGAGAAATGTGTTGAGGGAAAACAGAAATATGAAACATTTGTATTGTATGGAAGTAATGAATCTAAACTCTCCGTTCTCTCTTGCAGTCTTGCAGACGGCAGCGAATATTTGTTCCAGTGTAAAGACGAGGTGAGTTTCTAACTGCTGAGAGATAAATACGAACTTTAAAGAGATTTTCACTAATCATAAACAGTTCAGTGTTTTAGATTTGACATGTTGTAGCCAAACAGCATTTAAGATTTAACCCCTGACCCTATGTAAAGCAGGAGAATGTAATACTGCATACAGCACACACCATTTACATTTCATTTTAGGCTGGTTCGCTTTGACATTGCGGTCCACGCCTAAGTGTTTTAGCAAAGTTGTTTATGTGCGAGGCTGACATATACGAGGTTATTCATATTTCCCTCTGAATCAGCCTGCGAGAGGTTTACCCTACGGCGATCATTAGTTTTTACAAAATAAAGAATGCTGAGCGTGAGCTTGCCTTTATCCACATTATCCTGATTTAACCTCGTAACCACCTTATTTGAAGTTTCATTGTTAAAAGCCCACCTCCACTTGTTCATTTAGACCGAGACAAAAACACGCTCCGGCCCTCCTGGGGCTGGACTTTCCCTTTGTGAGCCTTTGTGTGTTTTTGTGTTTAATTTCAGGAGGAGCTCCAGCGTTGGAGCCAGGCCATGGAGAAGGCTGTTCAGTCCCTGGCAGCGGAGGAGGCGTCGGGGCCCTCAGGGGCCAAAGCCCACAGCCTGCCCCCTCCCTCCTCCTCAGCTGCCCTCCCAGAGCCCAGCTCTGCCAAGAAAGACAAGGAGAAGAAGTTCAGTCGCTTTGCCAAGAAGAAATAAAAGAAGATGGAAGGGAGGGGGGGTTGTTGTTGCCTAGGCAACCTGGAAGGAGAAAGTCGTATTTGTGTACAATCAGTCAGAGCGAGCTTTTTATCACTAGATTTTTTTATATTATTTTGTGAGAATTAAAAATTGTAGTTTAGGCTAAAGCCACCACTCGTTTGCCTGTATTTAAGCCAGTGTATGATTACAAAAAAAAAAAGGTCCACTTTTTTTTTCTTTTGTGTTCTTTTTAACAAATGCCAAATTCAAAGCATTAAATTAAAGCACAGGAATGCTCCTTTCACACTCAACCAAAGAATGTTTGTAAAACTTTGTTTTTGTTAATTTCGCTACTACTTCTTTCTTTTTTTTCTTTGCTTCAGTAAGGCATGCTTTGATATAGCTGTGTACAATATGAAGGCCTGTAATGAAAATAGGGTGACTCAAGAGTACTGAAGAGTACTTGTACTAATCTGCCTTATAAAATGGTTGTGAACTGTAATACTGTGCTGTTTGAATTTGGAGCACTAAACGCTACTTCTAGAGCCAGAGTGAATTTATTGATCTTTAAAAAAAAAAGAAAGAAAGAAAAAAAAAAAAGAAAGCTTTGTAAATGCCGTGTAAAGATTTGATGATGAGTGAACCGTAGTGCAGTGCTGTACAGTGCAGACACACATCATGTGTAATTGCAGTTATGCAAACTAAACGCTCTATGCACTGTGAAGGGTCTGACTGTTGAGATTTTTAACTGGTTGCCGACGACGTGCGAGCAGTCATGTGACACCACAAGCAGTCCGTTCTGAATACAGACCCGTTCAAGGCCGTATTCTCAACTGAACTGTGGCAGTATTTATTTCTGTGAACTTGAAATATATTCAACACTTGTGTATTGAACTCTTAATTTCATATCTATTCATTAGCATATATACATATAGAGTATATATATCTCCAGATGCATGAAGTACGTTTTACCTTAGTTTGATATGGTGCTATTGTGACATTCTTGAAATTTCAAGCAAGACCAACTTGACCTGCCTTATTTGTCTTCAACTTTGGCTTGTCGTAATACACATGTGGAAATGCATTCTGTTCGTTTGCGTTTATATCTGAGGGGTGTTTCATAAAAGGTGGCTCAGAAAAGCAACAGGATTAATCTGTTTGCCCAATTAAGTCTGGACTCACGAACCTAACGAGCAAAACTAACAAAAGGCAAAAAAGTCAAATGTTTGCAGACACCGAGCAGCACATGTTAAACCCCCAAAACGGCAGAAATTAGCAAAAAAAAAGAAGAAGAATGCGCTGCTTTAAACAAAACAAAAAGCTAATTTTGTCCCAGTGTTGCGGGTCAGTGGTGAGAACCTCTCGTTTAATTGCAAGGCTCTACTTGTAATTATGACTTTGTGGGTTCAACTCCCATGTGAGAGACGGCATTCCTTGTATAGCAAATGTAAAAAAAAAAACATTCATGTCCATCTGCAAAAACCATTAAAGAACTTAAATAATCAGTAAGACCACAGCCAGGTAATTTATTTTAATACAAGAAGATAATTTGCATATTTTAGAGACTAGAAGTTCTCAATCATTGGATTTTGCTGTTTGGTTTGTAGCAGTGAAATCACAGCTTCCACATGATGGAAACGCTGCTGAAATACATTCACATTGGCTCTGTTTCCTAAGTTTTATTTATGTGACAATTAGAGAGAACGAATTGTTAAACTTGTGATGACGTAATCATGGGCCAAAATTGTTTTTGGATTCATTTCAACCCAAAGGCCGACTAAAAATGTCAAACTTCAGGTGCACATAAAGTTCATTACGGGTCAACAATGTACTAAATTTAAAAACTGAGTTTTGTTCCAAGAGAAACTAAATTTCTTGATCAAACGTCAATCAACAAGATTAAATATTTGCAAAGCAATGTAAAATGACTACAACCAGAAGGAGAAGAATAACCACAAAACATCTCCAAGATGCAAAAACATTTAGCGACACAGACCAACTGCAAAGGGACGTAAAAGTACCACAAGAAGAAGCAAAATTACAACTGAAGACAGAAAATAACTGTAAACAGGTGCAAAAAAACTACAACCCCCCCAAAAAACATGCAGCAATGCAAAACAACTAAAAGTGCATCTTAAAAAGGCCACAACCAGAAGCTGAACAGCCACACAACAACCACAGAGATAGAAAATGAGGTGCAAAACAATGAAGAACCACTCAGCGACACAAACCAACTGCAAACTTCTAAACATTTGTTTTGCACCTTTTTTTAAAGTCTAGAAATCTTATTCTTATGTAGGAGGAGCGTCTGTGCCCAGGAGTCCAGGCTTAAACCTCCTTTATAAAATAAACAGCAGCCATGAAATAAGCCAGATTTAACTGGCAGTCGTTGATTTATGAAACACCCCTCCGGTCTCGCAAGCTAGATTTTACTTTGACAACTTAATACAAATGAGTGTCAAATTATATCTAACTAGAATCTTAACCAGGTGCTCCTATTTATAAAAAGCATTTTGTGGAACCAGCCAAAGTCTAGGACAAGCTGAGGGTCGGATTGACTGCTTTTAGAACCACACAACAGGACCGGGCATGCTCTCTATCCAAGGCCAGGATCACACAGTAGCAGTATGGAGCTGAGGGAATGTGTCTCTGATATGAATGTAAGGGAAGGAACGATAAGGAGAATTTACAACAATTAATCCATTTCAGAATTCGACAGTGTAAATGCACAGAGTATGTTAAGCTCATGGAACTACATTTCTAGATAATAATTTCTCTCTCCCACTGCCGTCTTGCCTTGTACTACTGTGATCTCCGTCCCTGAACTACGATCAAGTGACCTCAATAAAAACGATGGAAGTGTAGAAAGATGAGTGTTCAGCTCAAGAGCTTTCCAGGAAATGCGGTAGCATCGTCATGATCTCTGCCCCAGATTCCTTAAATCTGCAACAAAACAATTATGAAATCTCCGACCTCCTCACGGCCATCCAAACACAAATTACAAATGTTTCTGAGCGCGAGCGGAACGTCAAGTCTATGCTACTAGTATCAGCAGCCATGTTTTTCTGATATACAACACACCTCGAAATGGTTTGACAAACTTGCATCACATGTATTCAGTCTTGTTTTTTTTGTTTTGGTCACTATATCTCCAGATTGTGACACTTCTGCTCTGTCACCTTCATCCACTTCTGTTTATTCCTCCACTTCTTCCCTACCTGCCTTTTTTCTGTTCAGTGGTTTTTAAATCTGCATTTTGTACTCTCTAGCTATGTAAAATATCCAACAACAACAACAACAACAAAAAACATGGAATACATTTTGAGAGAATAAAGTTTAATTTTAAACTCCTGAAAGTATACAGGTTGGGTTTATTTACAGACTGTTTTATTGAACCTCGTGTTGATTTTTTATTTTTATTTTTTTACCCCCCTCGTAATGATTAATACATCAAAAAAGGTGCATTAAAATGAATTTCAGAGGAGATTTATTGAGTGCAAACAATTGAACAAAGGCAGGCATGAAACAAAAGGCATTTTCACTTTCAACAGTCATCCGTCAAACGAGCTAATTTCAGATAAGACGAGCTGCATATGAACATATTCAAAATAGACAAAAGTGTTGTATTTACATTCCAGTGGCTGTTGGCAAAACAATGAACAAACAGCCTCGAGACAGTAAGGCAAGCTTTAGGCTAATTAGATCTCAGCTCATAAGTAACAGGCTGAGGTTGATCACTTATAGCAATACAAAGCCCTGAATAACAGTTCATTTCAATCTTTGCAAACTCAATAGGTATGTGCCTGCAGCAGAGCATACAAATTATCATTTCTCTTCAAAACAAATAAGCCAGAAGACGCAGATACCAGAGATATTTTCAGTACACTGCATTACTTTATCGTTAGCCAATTTTCCTCAGCGAGACCTTAACAAAACCTGCCAGAACGTATTCTGCTTCCACACTTACCCCCTTTAACAACTTTCATTTACATGTATACTTGTGCATCTTGCTGCCAGCAATAATTTCTCAGCCTGGCCAAATCTCGGAAAAAAAACAAAAAAAACAAATTCAAATTACGCTTTCCATCATCAGATGTTATCATTTTACTGTAGCTGAAAACTTGACTATTTGCAGAACAGATGCGAGAGGAGCCTTCTGCGATGCAACGGCTGTTACAACACAACCACAGATCATCGACGAGGCATTACCAAGGTCCCTGCAATCAGTTTCATTTTTCACAAAAAAAAAAAAAACAAAAAAAAAAACTGCTGCATATGCCATAATGACAATGACCCAGCGATGCTAAATCAGCACATAACTGCTGAGAAATTATTCAGAATTAGACAATGTTCATTTGTATTTCAGGACGGGACATTTGTTTTCATATGTTTACAGACAATTATCAAACTTGAGGAAATCAATTTTCCGCATATTACCTTGTGTAGGAAGCTCTGCATTGGCTGTTAAGTCTCCTCTCGGGAGCTATAAATCTCTATTAACCAGGAGGTAACGAGGAACGAAGAATGAAATTAGATTAACAGGATGGCTATAGGCAATTAATAAACAGCTACAGTATGTCTCAGTATTTACAGCAACACTGCGGTCAGAACGAATAACCTCAAGGAACACTAAGTGTGATGTACAGCTGTTGATCTACCGCCGTTAGTTTCCCGTATTCAGTGTCATTAGTTAAATAGATGCTTCAGAGGCCGTTACAATAAACATTCCTCATGAGCCTCACAGATGTTCCTTCACATCTGAAGGACAAACGATTGCTGTTATGTTTCTAACACCAGGTCAGCGCCCTCTGTCAAGCACAACCTTGTCTTCCAATCAGTCAGAAATGTTTTAAAATTTAACATTAAAATAGCTTTCATTCAGGGGGATTGGTGCTTTGAATTCCAGCATAAACAGATCTGCCATGACTCTCTCCAAAGCATTTTTTTTTTTTTTTTTTTAAATTAGCTTTTACATCAGAAATAGCAAAAATGACATGGGAACAAAGTGTTTAAAAAAAAAACCAGACAACTTTATTCACAAGCCATTTCTGCTAAATGCATAATTAAATAAGCACATAATCTCAAAATATTACACAAGATACAATAAAGTTAATGACACGATGACCTTTGAAGGATTTTAGTAAGATGTGTTTGAGGACAAGGTCGATTTTTCGGATTTTCAGTAATACACGTATCAACAACGAAGCTTTACGAGTATGGATCAGTGACCTCATCCATACATACCAGAGACCCACACACACACACCCACACACACCAAGAGTTCATAGTTCATGACTTTAAGAGAAAGGCAAATCAGAGGAAGAAAAACAAGTACAAAGAGCAGATGATCTGTGCTACTTCCCTCCCTTTGAATGTCGTATGACAAGATGCAACAGGCCTGGTGCGTATTTGGTATAAAAACAGCAGTAATATGGAGTCAGTCACTTCCTCTACGGAGCAGTTTCTGATACCCACACTGCTTCTCACAGTCCAGCATAACCATGTGTGTCAAAGGTGGCGGACAATTTTTAAAAAAACATGTAAATGTTTGTGTACTCCATCTACATCTCAGTGTAGTCAAGGCAGGCACATTACTGGCAGAACGGCTTCCTGATAGAATTTTATTTTCATTTTGTCAAAGTGTGTGTGTGTGTGTATGTGCATGCCCGCAAGGATATAGTGTGTGTGTGCATGTGTGTAGCGAAGGAGGCTCAAGGTTGATAGATAAAACTGGCAGAAGCAGAATTCCTCGTCTATTTGAGGAGCTTGTTGGCTCTCTGGTTCGCTTCATCAATGCGCACTTTGTTCATGTCCGCCTGAAACAAAGAAGAACAAAAAAAAAAAAAAAGTGAAAAAGGGACAGTTATACAACATTTATTCATACAGCAAATTACTGTAGCATTTAACAAACATTAAAAGGTGCTACGTCAAGTTTTGTTTTGTATGTGACGGCCCCTATTTTATCTGCACACAGTTCTGTGAATGGTTTCATGCAGTTTAACGAGTATGCAGGTGGGTTCACTTGTGCTGTTCCTATTACTTTTATCTGTTCTATTTGTTAGTTGTGTTTCGGCTATGTGTTCTTTTATATTCCTCTTTGTACAGCACTTTGGTCTGTCTTGGAGTTTTAAAGTGCTTTATAAATATAACTGGATTGGATTAACATGCAGCAATGTGTCCACAAAGACAGGAGTAAAAACAACATCATCACCGACTAAACACGTATGTCAACAATGCAGGATCTAAACTTCTGAAAACCAGACAGAAACAAAACTAATAACAATGCACATTAAAAAGGACAACTTGTCCAACACTGGACGAGTCAGAAATGTCTCACCTTGTCAGTGATGCGGTCGATCTGTTTGTTCTGCGAGTCGATCTCATTGCCCATGTCCAAAGCCATACCTCTCAGGTTGCTGATGATGCTGCCGACTGCATCCAGATTCTCCTCCATTTCATCCTCACGTGCATCATTTGTTATCCTGTACCACAGATGAAACGTTTTATTTTAAGTTCATTTTATTTATGCACTGTCGCAATATCTCACATGGACTAGGATAACTGGAGACAATAATTCCTTTCTGAATGACTATCATGGTTTTTATGAACGCTACGGTAAAATTCTCAAGATTCCAAAAACAGCCGTGACCACACCTCTTGATGTACGGGCCTGATTGGGCCGAGGCGTTTGCCTGGGCAGCCTGGCCGTTGCGGACGCCTGCGGGCTGGCTTGAGACTACTTTTGCGCCACTGGCGTCGACGTCGCCTTCGCCTCCTCCAAGACCCCAGGTACGCTTGTATTTTGAGTCATGCTCGATTGAAGTCACCCTGGAGGAAAAACAGAACGTCAGAACAAATGAGGAAATCCAGAGATGTTTAAAAAATAAAATAAAATAAATAAATGTTAGTAGATGGAGCTTGAAACAAAAGCATTCACGACCGGTTTACGAGAACAAACGTCAGCTATCACTACGATCACAGATGGTCATTAATATCAATGAAGTTGAAAAGATTCCCTACCTTATCGCTTCATAGTCAAAGAATCTTCTTCTCCAAAGTGAAAGCATTTTGGGAAGATTTTTTGCACATTTAGAACCAAGTATGATCTCAGTGTTCAGACAAAATGACTCTGCATAACGATGTGGCCTGACAGAGAGCTTCGAGAGTGCTCAGCGCAGATAAGTGCAGCCGTCGTGATAAGAACTTGGTGGGAACGGCGACACATTTCCTAACGGCTCATAAGCAATTGGCAATCCTCAAAATTGAATCAGCAATCTTTTCATCATAAAATACATATTTGACAATAATTTTTCCCCCTTCTGCCTCATACGTGGCTTTTGCAGCCATGCAGCTGTGTTTGTGTGAAATCCCCCTGGCTGACCAGAGTGATGCTCAACCTCGTGACAGCAGAGCTACTAAGGGGGAAGGGCCACTGGGCCAAAGCTAGTGTTTTTTTTGCAGTCCTGTACTCCCATTTTGAATTCGTCTTTGCATGATATCCTCCATACTACTCTATACAGTAATCCAAGACCATCTTGGACAAAGCTACAAACATACAGGCTTACGCTTTGGCCAGTTGTAATGATTTCAGCTTTACGGTAGGTGGCTATAACCACGATACCCATGAGAGTTGGCTGCTCATGCAGTGGATAAGGAGCCACGTAGAGCTAGAAATAAGGGCAATAAGGAATTGAAAAAGTTCTGTTGTTGTAGTTGTGCACAAAGCAGAGCAGCATAGTATTGTTATTAACAGAAGCCAATGATGTAATAAGAGCTGATAACATAATAAATTTGCACTTTTTAAAATGTAATAAGCCAATAACGTAATAACTGGCCAATAATATAATAAAAGTCCTGAACCGATAACGTAATATCTTTTGGCCAATAACATAATAAGTTATTATGTCATTGGCCAAAGGTTGTTAGGCTATCGGTTCAGGACTTTTATTACGTTACTGGCCTGTTACATTTTAAAAATGGCAAATGCATCACGTTATCTGCCATTATTAGTTTATTGGTTTCTGAAACAGTATAAGAGAATTTCAATCTAAAATGCTCCATGAGGGTTGTCTCAACTTAAACCAGTGTGCCTTTTTCTTCTTTTTGGTTTTGCATTGGGTTTTTTTATTTATTTTTTTTTAAATTTACATCAAAAAGAACCCAATATTTCACAACACAAATGTTCTTCCTGTACTGAGCTTTAAAGTTTTATGGCAACACCAACTGCAGAAGTGTCCGCCTCGTCAGTTAATATTGCCAACGGGGGAAAGGAATCAGATTTGTACTACTGGAACAAGAATTGAAAGCAACTCATTCTGCTTTGAAACCGTGTTCCGGCACAAAAACATATTGAATTATCAAAATGTTTTTTTTTACAGCTTCTTTGCATCGTTGTGAAGCTCGACAGCAAAACCAGTCACATCCCTGCTTTACAAACAACTCGGCATGCTGGCACAGCACACAAAAGTTAAACATGAATATCATCTCCTGACTGGCAATAAATTGCTTTTACGCATCCAAAAATTCTGGTTTGGAGCCTGCAGCGGTTCTGAGAGCACAGCGTACCTATCACAGGGGCAGACGCAGAGGCCGCAGCACTTGGAGAGGTCAGTCAGATTTTTCTCGGCCGTTCTCATGTCCTGGTTGATCTGATCCATGCCCTCCTCCACACGCCTCAGCTGCTCTAAAACCCACACAGGCACAGCACACCATGTCAGACTCGGCTCGTTATACAGTTTTATACGCCAAGAAACGGGTCTTATTGTTAATTCTGTTTTGTTTATCACCTTTATCTATTCATTTTTAGAAACGGATTAAATTACACTTAATGATCCCATTGGGATTCTTAAATTGGGTCAATAACTGGGTCATTGCAGCATCAAAAAAAAATTGGGATGTAGTTAACAAAAAGAACATACGGTAGGTAGTGTAGCAAATAATTAGGAATGCACATTTTTAAACAGGGAGCACATGCCTTGGACAGAACTTACACAACAACTTAAAAGCAATAAAAAATTAATGGCACCAGTACATGTGTATAACTTTTTCAAATATATTCTATGATCATTTGGGCCAAAACTGATGCGTCTCAGTTTAAGTGCCACCACGAGTATAATTTTCTGTGTCTGTGATGCTGAAACACAACGTCATTAGCAACTCTTACATTTTGTTTTTACGCTGCACTGTTATTAATGGCCTGCAGCACAAACTAATTCAACTCAATTTTAGAAACTACTTAACATTCTCAAACATCTTTGAACGTATTTGTCCTCGGAGTTTGTCTCTTGCAGAAATACCCTTCAGATATTCCCTGTACGATCATGACTTAACTGAAGAAAAAAAATAAAATCCTTGAGGGATTCTGTCTCCCTAAATCATCATAAAAAGTTCTTAGAGAGGCAAGAAAGGTTAAAAATCTGTATTCTAGGACGATGACATCTGGCTGATTTTTTAGCTCCAGTCAAATCTTCCTTTTGAAAAGACTGAAAAACTTCAGAAAAGAGCCATTCGCTAAACTTCACCCTTAGCATTTGGGACAGTCTTAAGAATACCACAAACAAAAAAACAAATAAAGCAACAATAACACATGAGATTTGAAAAACTATTTATAATACGTGTGTACCTCCTTGCTGGTCCAGCATCACCATGGTGTTAACGCCAGTCTCTTTGCTCTGAAAACACAAAAAAACATTATCCAAATTCAGAACACAAGAGTACAGATGAATTTATGTACTGAAAGAGATAGAAATAATTAGGTTTGGATCCATTTCCAAATGAATTAGGATACTGGTTTTGTTCAAAACTTGAAAGATGAAGTGTAACAATAACTGAAACAACCTTTTTCTTACAATGCAGTGACCTTATTGTCAAAAAATTCTGTTTTTCAGCCCTAATGTGCTGTTTAAAAGGAGAACAAAGCCTTTTCAATTTTGTATGTCAGTGCCATTTATTTAAAACATTCTCTGTTCTGAGTTCAAGCAATCAAAGACTACTTACAAAACTGCAAGCTCGGACATAATTTTATTGAAATCGTCATTCGTTAATTGGAAGTTTTCGGACACGCACTCTGGCCATTAAACCAAGGCTTCACTGAACAGAATATTTTCTGTCAGCGACGGCAAAATTGTCAAAGTCTCACCTCCTGTGCCATCTGTAGCATCCTCCGTGTGCTTTCCAGTGACTGTGGAAGAAAAAAAACAAAAGACAGAAGGCGTTTAGAGAATAACGAGAAGTGAAGAAGGTTATTAGCTAAAAGCAGTCTGCACAGAGAGCCTGTGAAGAAGACTTAAACAGAGACAGAAACTGATTGGGAGTGCAGTCACACCTCAGATCTCTCTTTAGCCAGCAGGGTTGATGCATTTTTACGTTTGGCTTGATTAGTTTCTAAATCTCCCAAATGCAACTTCACAAAATCTTGCAAATAAAATGAAAATGGACGCACACATTTAGTTTTAGGACAGCACTTTGGTAACTTGAATTCCAATAGGAGATTACAGATTCTAATCACATGACTGAAGCGAAAGGAAGGATTTCTCTCCTCTGTCATAGTTTATATTCCCTGTTGTTTGTAGAAACCTTTTCCCAGTAGCTTACCAAGCTCAGATTGCTCACAGTGGAAACTGATGGACCAGTTAATTCAAACAAACCAGCTGATTACTGTGAATGTGGCCTTAAGACACAGGCAGACAACAGAAGGGAATTAAAAGACAGTAAGAGAAAGAACAAGATAAGACAGACAAGGAAATTGGAAAGATGCACGTGATAAGAAAAGCATGCAGGAAGCCACACTGTTAATATTCAGAAATATATTAAAGCAGATGCCAACAAATCTAAGAACACAGATCTACGGGGGTGTAAGGCTTTAAGGTAGAAACGCAAATTGTGTGATTTCGTTTCCCTGCATCCTGCCTGACATGTTTAACTCGACAATACAGCAACACAAAATGTACACTGTGATTACTGACAGTATCTGATCTGGGCTTAGTTATAAAATTATGATCTCGGTTACATGAGTTTTTCTGGACTTAAAGGTTATTTTAAACAACAATTCTCTGTTCTGCTGATTATTTCAAATTATGAAATATCAGAAAACAATGAAATGCTTCCTATCATGCAGGACAAAAAAACCCCAGGAAATATTTATATTACTGATGACTTTGTATTGTATTAATTAGGGTCTTACCCACTAGTAATCCCTAAAACATCATCATATAGATATATAAAGAGAGGTATATAAAATAAAGATAGACAATGACTTCTCAAGTACAGTCACTTTTCTCATTACTCGTTTGACGAAACCTTAATCTGCAACCGTTTGGATAATTAATTTAATGTTTTTTTTAACTCACGGCATTTAAATATGTGCTAGTTACAGAAATATTTGCTTTAGCTTCGGATTGTTCGTCAGAAAAACAAGCTAATGTGATCGTAAAATATGCCATCATTATTCCTCAAAGACCAGTTTGACCCGTCGTCTTGCATTTCATAGGCCAAACTGTTAATTAAGAAATTAAGTGACAGTCTGATTCACAAGCATCTTGACAGTGATGCAGTTCTTTCAACAGCACACTATAACAATGGATTTGAAATTAAGCAATCAAAAAGAAATGTAGTGAAATTTAACAAAAACACGGCATGAAACATTAAGGTGTTACAACCATGTTTTTACATAGTCTGTCTATTTTCACAGCCACAAACTGACATTATTGAAAGTACAGGAATTATTTTTAATACTAAGCCTTTGCAGTCAATGTCTGCCTGAAGTCTGGAACCCACAGACATGAAAACATGCTGAGTTTCCTTTCTTGACGAGCTGTGCCAGGCCTTTGCCGCCGCCTACTCCACGCTCTTGATGCCTTCAGATTTGTTTTCAATAAGAGAAAAGCAGCTCAGTTGGGTTGAGATCAGGTGCCTGGCTTGGCCATTTAAAAACATTCAATTCTTTCTATCTGAACAAGCTCTTGGGTTCCTTTCACAGTACGTTATGGGTTATTATGGATCTTTACTGTGAAGCGCCTTTATTAGTTTTGCAGTATTTGACAGAATCTGTGCATAAAGTACAGTTCTGTTCACTTTAGAGTTTATCCTGCTGCTAACACCGGCTGTCACATCATCAATAAACATCAGACACCAAGTTCCACTGACAGCCTGAATGTCCTTGCCATAAAACTGCCACCTCCCGATTCGGATCATGATTCCTTTCCTTCTTAAGTGTCACCAGTCATTTAGATCTGAAGGGGAATTCTCTGTATTTACATTTATGAAGGCACCATTTCTGATTGCAGACCTTCTTCACAGGAAACATCTCAACTTAGCTAAATGCTGTAAACAAGTTTTTGTACACCAAGGGAAGAATTCTACGATCATCTACTTTGGTTGTCGTTTGTGGTTTTCCAGACATTTTATTGTTGTTGCCACTCTGACCAATCTGTTTCTATTTTTCTGCCTCACCTCCACCAACATCTCTTTGGAATGTACATGAAGAGCAACCAAATTCAACACTAAGAATTAACTCCAAAATCTTGTCTCATTAGTTTGTGGCAAATTAAAAAGGACACAGAAAACAGCTCGCCATGAAACTGCTTATCAGTGAATTGTCTGCTTATTTTTAAGGCTGTGAAAATAGAGAGACTATGTTAAAAAAAATGGCCATATTTTTGTTAACCCCCCTGAATTAAAGCTCAAAGTCAGCACTTCAATCACATGTTGATTGCTTTTATCAAATCCTTTGTGCTAAAGTACAGGGGAAAAATGTACAAAAAATTGTGTCTCATACTTATGGATCTGACTATACGCTGCATTTCTACATTTAAGCTTCCAAAAAAATAAAAAAATAAACACATCACTACTCAATTATCTGGTTTGCAAATGAGATTTTTGAATCCAAGCATCCCGTCTACTATAATAATAAAAACCTAACTGACACAGCAAACACAGCCACAAGCAATGCCGTACACTAAAACGTTTTAATTCAACATGGCCCAAATTCATACATGTTAATTCTCTACAGTATATAAATGCTGCATACTAATCAGAACCGTCTCGCTGTGATTTTACAACATCACTTCCAGTTCAGAGAGAGCAACAATTTAATGCTTTCTTTAAAAGTAGTTTTCCATCCTAAAGCAGTTTCACCAACAGCTCCTTTACATTCTGAGGAAAAAAGCTACAGCATCGAGGCTAAAATGAATAATTTATTAGCAGTAACATAAAATCGATTGTCTAAATATTCTTCTGATAGTCTGTAAGATGATAATTTTCAAGGGAAAAAAATGCCAAATATTTTTAAGATCGATTTTCAGCCTGTCGAGTGTGAGGATTTGCTTTTTTTCTGTCTTATGAGAACTTGAATGTTTCTAGGGTGACATTTTTGAACATAATCAATGCTTTCAGCAATTTAAGGCATGCTCAGAAATTAACCGTATTTAATTGGCATAAGGTCACTTTTTCCACACACTCCATACTCAAAAGCTCCTTTCTTAACTGTCCTTGATCTGGTGAGATGAGTAAAGTTTGCACAAAAGCCAGCAGTCCAAAGCACGACAAACAAAAACTCAAATGTGCGCACAGAGACAAAGTGTTGACGACAAACTGGAATGCAGTCAGTTCAGGTGAGTAACGCCTTATGTGTCTCTATAAATAGCAAACGCTGCAGAGAGGAGTGCATGCAAAAGGAGTGAAGCAAGGAAGCGACTCAGGGCACGACTCCATTGTTACCGTCACTAATGAACTGTTAACAAGAGAGAGTGAGGACCAGATTCCTCATTCTCTCTGTGTTATGTTTGCTCCGAATACATTAATCAGCGAGTTGAGAAACAGACAAACACGGAATTGGCGAGAGGGATGTGTCGATCTCAGCCAGGTTTCTGTTGGCTTAGCCAGAACATCACTTGGGTGGATAAACATTACATTATGTCTCCTAAAATCCTTGAACCTGGCTAATTAAGCCTGAAATCGCGGTCTTCGCCAAACCTTCCAGATTGGTGTGCTGTGACAATTCTTTGAGATACAGACAATTGTGAGATATTTTTATCGCGTGTTTGGGATGGCTTAAATGGGAGTGCAGTTAGGTGAGGTACATGCAGGTTCCAACGAGCTACATGGAAAGCTTTCTAACATAAAACTCAAATTATTCCGTCAAAAAAAAAAAAAAAAAGCATACAGGCATTATGGATATTAATTGGCTGCAATATACCAGGATTACTGGAAAGTATCACACAAAATATGGATTTAAAGAATTCTGATGAGAAAGTTTTGAAGTCTTGTTTTTACTTTTATAAATAGCCTTGAAATTGGAAAAGACAGCTCATGTTTGACTTCTAAAAGACAATCTTTTTTATAAAAAAATTCTGATGCTGTCCGGATACATTGCCAGCCATGACAGGACAGTGTTTCAGGTATGAGTGGTTACCCAAAGCCAGAGTAGTAGGTAGTATTAGCAGAAGGACCCTCCCATGCCCTGTCCTTTCTACGATCTCCTAAGTCAACCAGGCAGCAGTAGAAGGAAGAAAGAAATACAAGGAAAATTGTCGGTTAAGTCAGAAAACACACAGAGAGAATTAAAAACAGAAATGGAGAGAAAAAAAAGAGATGGAGGGGAAAAACTCCAGACAATTAGTACAGTCAGAATTACATGAAGGTGAAGTGTGCCGCTACAAGCCCAGCTAGAGTAAGTTAATTTGCCTCCATTTGAATCAGATGGCTGATCTTATGATGCCCTGGAGTGCTGATTAAACAATTATCTCCCTGATAATAAAACACTTAGATATAGCTGACAACATTCAAACTGTCAAAACCACGGAGGGGTAAGGGAGCTATCAGACTAAATTAGGCGTAAAGCCTCACACACTTCCTATTAATGCCCGGCTTAATAATAAACTCTGAATGCAAGGACTCTCATTACCCCCTCCGTGGCCTTTCGGCGCTACAATACAGCAAATCCCAGATTATTTTTTCTCTGACTGACTTTCTGTTGTGCCAAAAGTTGCCGTTGTCAACATGGTTACATTTAAATTCATTATTTTATAATGGCAATGCTTAATTATGGTAGGGACGGCAAAATGAAATGATTTAATATGACTACTGTGCTGAGATTATATTTGATAATTTGCACTGTGGTGACTTTTAAAATGTTAGACATTTACATTTTTGTATTTTGGACATTTGGTATACGAAACTTTAACTTGCTTTTTTTCATAATAGTTAAATGAGACGATCTGTATTTTTGCCATGAATCTACATCCAAGCAATTAACTTTTAGCCTCACTTCTGTTTTGTTTTTTTTTAAGATTCAACAACTGAGATGTGCCAATTAGGGAACTTCACAGGTGCTGGTTAGTGGATTGTTTTAACATTTAGAAAGAGGGAGGTTATCCGTGTCCTCCTACATCAAGTACTTATGCATATACACCAAAACTACTTTCATTTCACAGCATGTTCTCAGTTCTTCCTTATTGGTTTGAAGTAATTTCAATTTAAACAACTGGTGTTGCATCTGAGACAAAAGAACTGTTGTGACAGCTTGTTAGTAGAAGATTAGTGTGTATTTCTGTAGTGGATTAAAGTGACACTTCATTGAAAATCTCTTTCTTTTCGGCATTAAATGCACATCCCCTGCCACAAGATGTCTGATATACGTTAGCGTCTTCAACCTACAATACATTTTGTTATTGATGGTTTTCTTAAAAAAAGGTGAGTGCTCTATGCCTGGAGACTGCAATGTCTCACATGATCAATTCCAGTAAATGTCAGAAACTTTATTAGATTACTCAAGTGACTCGATGTAATAACTGATTTGATATACACCAACTAGTGCCCAAAATACACTCAGAAAACAGCGATAAAATATCTGTAGAAACTTCTCAAAACCACTTCTGCAGCATTAGCTACTTCCCTGCTCTCAATTTCTATGCTCAGTATGTTCCAAACACTAAAACTTCTGCTTGTTTTGGGTCGATTTTACTTTAAGGAAGTTTCCTACTTGGTCAGAGAGAAATTCACAATGACAGAATGGAAAAGAGAAAGGCACTGTGGGTGTATGTGCGCATTGTTTGTGTGACTCAGTACCTCATCAGTCACTTGGTTGGCCCTCATTGTCATCTGTTCCACGCTCATGTCTTCCATGTTGCTGCTGTCCTGTTTGGAGGCTCCTCCCGTGGCACCGAGCTCAATATTCTGCGGCCTGAAGGCGGACAGAGGTCAAAAAGTCACTAAGCAGCACCGCATCACAGGCCATCAATGAAACTATAAATATTAAAATTGCTCTCTATGACTATATAAGAGCAAGCACAGAATGGGAAACAATGCCGGTTAAAGAGTGAAGTGAAGCTTTCTGGAGAGGAAATGTAGCAACAGATAGACTTTCAGAGGAAACAATCCATTTGAGAAGTTACAGATCACTGCCGTGACAGTCCGTCACCTGCGTTAAACATCCCCCAGTTCATGTGGACAAACAACTGGTTTGTGCTGCATCGACATTTAGGGAAATTGGGTCATTCCTCATCATGGTGGAGGTGTATTTCTGTACCATTTGCTGGTCTGTACACTGGATTACACTGAAACTGTGTAGCCAAGCTTAATAAAACTTGGTGGAAAGATGAAGAACGGCCACTCAAATTTTGGTTCTGGATCACTTTCTGTAATATTGATCATAGGACACTGGACGAGGATGGCGTTTACAGAGAACTTTAAAATGTAACAGCAGCGGTAAAACTGTATTTCACAATTAATCGGCTGCTTACATGCATGCTGTACCATTCGAAGGAAATCAGACGCAATAAGTGACACCATCACAACTAACTATTTGAGCAACAGAAAACTTACTTAGAACAATTTTTATATCTCAAATGACTTTTCAAGACTGACACCCATAATGATACGAGTACGATAAATAAATCATACAACCAGTATTTGTTTTTCCACATAAACATTTTGGTAAGGAACCCTTGAATTCAGTCGTTTAAGGACAGAGAATATTATGTGTAATGGGTCCGATATTTAGCAGCTGACAAACTTTGCCAGTTGTTTCCGCTGGACAAATTATGCAATCAAAATGCCATTTCAAAATGACTTAAAATGCACTTTCAGCATGTATTCTGGACTCCCTGGTACATATGGGCTAACATGTACTCTGCAACAAACACATCTGCTGTAAGACAATATCTGCCAATAGACAGCCTGGATAAGTTAATCTTAAGTTTAAGAGACTTACCAAATAAGAGTATTAAACACCTTGGCTACAGCTCCTAAACAGGTGAGGTTTTCTTTGCTTTTCACTGTCTTAAGTTGAGATAAACTGTTTCCCTTCCTGCTGATTAGACTAAATAAGCAAGTAGGCACCTCAGATTTTTGGTTTTTCATACTGATAAGTGACTATAAAATGACTGACGAAGCTGATAAAATTCTTAAACTTAAATCAATATTTATGTTTGCATCTTAACTGAACTGCACTCCACACACAGCACCAAACAGTGAATGAACATTAAGTTTATCTGGTGTCAGCTTTTCAGTTTGTAACAGTGGAGACACAAGGCAGAACTTAGAATTACAGCTTTATAGGTTTATAAAGGTTGTGGGAAGCTGTAAGTTAAGGTTCATTAAGTTCTAACGTCTCATGTCACAACACAAATCAGAGCTCAGCGCTATAGAGCACTTCATTGTAAATGTGGAGAAAACGATCAGAGATAAAGCATTTAAGCGCACAAGCAAATCAATGTTTGGTGTGTGCATGTCACTCATATGGAGAAGGGAAAAAGAAGATGCAAAACTTAAACAAATCAGGTTTTTTTTTTCCTGCCCCTGAAGGAGTTTTAGGAGTCTGAACACATACAGCAGGCTCGCTCATAAAGTGTGCAAAGCTTAGCTGCAGCGTGGTGAGTAGAATCATGTAGGCTAACAATGAGGGAACAGAGATATGGAGGCTGCGATAGGGAAAGCAGAGTCACGAGAGTGGATGCTGGCAACCGGCAGGAATATAACACTGCCGAGGATTTTTTACAATACTTAAACTTTAATTAAAATGATTAGAGCTACAATAGCAGATCAATAAAATGCGAAGCTAAAATGTGGTTTCAGAAATGCTTAAATACAATAAAACAATAAAGGATATGGGTGGTGACGGTATAAAAAGCAACTTGGGACAAAGAATTGCTAACAACGGAGGGTTTTTAAAAGTCTTAAGAACATTCAGAGACATTTTGGAGACTAAAGAGTTACATCTTGATTTTATCAGGTTTGACTTTCCTGGTTTTAAAAGGGAAGCATTTCATTTAAGTGACGCACATTTATGACCTTATTTGACTATTTAAACTCAGTAATGTAAACAGTGGATGGCTCCACTTATTGTCTTTTCCACCCCACCCACCACCTCTTCCAGTTATTCCCCTCCGGCAGGCGAAACAGGACACACATACAACAGGACTGGAAAACAGCCTATCAGGAAAAATGGGTCAATGTGAGCGGCTTCAATATGTCTGAAAAACTGAATAATCACATAAAATAAGTAATAATAATATGATATGAGAATTTATCATGAAATCTAATAAGATGAACTATAAGGCTAAATATCTACAAGGATATTTGTGGACTACATATAGGGACTGTCTTAGAAGAGACATGATTAATTGACTAAAAACGTGGTGAAAAATTTATCTACATGCTGTTGTCATCTATTAAAAAAATAATAAAACAGCTACAGTGCATTAAAATGGAAATTAAGCCCACCTTTGGCTCCTCAGTGTTAAAGGCTTGCCGAGTCCCAGTGTGAGTAACTCAATCACTACAAAATCATCGCTTCAGGTCAATGTCAAAGACAAAACCGTTTTGGTACAACTACTCCTACATGTGATTATCTGCCACGGATGATCACATCAGGACGCACTGAGGCCACGTCAGACAGCTCGGTGTGGGCTGTGCATTCAGATCAACATTCAGATTTCATGATCTTGCACAATATGCAGAACAGCAGGGCGGGCGTGAGGATGCGTCACCGAGAAGCTGTGAACAGCAGCAGGAACAGTTGGTGATGGCCGGCCACTGAGGGCCACTTGTTGTGAAAATTAACATTTTTTCTCTGCTCTCAATTTGTTTTTTTTCTAAAGATTAACTCACTAAAGTTCAGACAGAGCACAGTGTATGAAAGCAGGGTACAATCAAATTCTTAGGTTTGTTAGCTCTGATTAACAGGACATATGTTGCTGTAAATGATCAAATACTCTGGGCTGTTTCTCAATATAGAAGCTTAAGTATAAAAGCTTGAGTAATAAGTGTGGTTTCGTTGTGTTGCTCTAATGCAAATCATTCGGAGATGTGTGCTGCAGTCACAATTCTGACCTTCCATAAACAGTTTAGCCGACACAAATCCCTTCTAAGCAAAATGTGTGCATCAAGCGACCTTCATGCAGTCCAGCATCACAAAATACAGCAAAATGAGTGTTGTAACGGCCGCCTCGGAAACGCTCCGGCTCACAAGGTAAAATGAGATCAAGCTCATCATAAGCAAAGAATTAAGTTTGTTTTCTGTGATACAGACAGACTGCACTGTCAAGGGCACAGAACCATAAACACAACGCTCTGTTTTTATTCCAGCTCCAGAGTTTTTATACACCAACATTCAGGAAGCACTGCCTCATTCTCTTTTCGGCTTTTTCCCCCTCTCCCGTCATCTCCTTTTCCTTTAAAGTTCAAGTAACATGTTCCTGTTTTGCAAATAACCCCTGAACTTCAAGTTCCCTTTCAAACCTGCAGCAACTCAACATCCTGGAGGAAAAAAAAAAGACGAGGAAAATGGATACTTGGCAGACAGCTCAGAGGATTTGATGTTGTTGACTCTGCATTTTTTCCTTTTTTTTTTTTTTTTGGACAAGAGTGCACTTGGTTCACACAGGCTTGACTGCTTTCTCTAACCGATTATTGGACTTGGCAAGTTACTGATGCAAGTTTTACAACTATAACCCTAAAAGTAGACTCATTCACACATGTTACAGCCCTTTGAAAGCCACAATGAAAGCAGATGAACATGTCAACACTGAAATATCAGTTACATGTGCCAGTAAAACAGACCTCAGCGTAGCCAAATATTGATTTACCCTTGTGTCATTGTGGTGAGGAGGTTAGATTAAGCCACACGTTGGTACTAGATTTTCTAGATGCTAGATTTTGAGGCTATATTTGGTCCTTTGTGAAATTTAACCTAACTGAGCTCTATTCTCACTCCACAACAACACAAATATGTGACACCAGACAACGCGAGTCCACAGATAGGCTGCTCCTTATGATCTATGGATTATTTTATCAATGAATCGATTAGTCGTTTGATCTATAAACATGTCAGAAAATGGCAAAAAAAGTCTCAGTGGAAGCCAAATGGACTTCCGTTCTTCGATTTAAAGCTGACGAAGCTTCTCGGATGAGAGGCGAGATGTTTTCTAGAAACGAAAAGAGAAGTACAGTTGCCTTCTATTGAAGTACTTACAACTACACTGAACCGCATGACTAAGAATCTACACATACAATGCTGACCAGTGTTTTCTAAAGCCCCAGAGGACGCCCTCAAATTTCCTGTTTTGCCCACAACCAAAAGAAATTCAGTTTAGTCTCACAGAGAAGTAAAGAAACCAAAGGATGCTCAAATTTACGAAGCTAAAATACAAAATTGTACACTTTTTCTTAGAAATCAATTAAGCAATTATCACAATGAATTAATTTAATCGCTGACAGCTAATCGACTAATCGTTGCAGCTCTGTTCACAGGCACAAGAGGAATAATTGAACAAGCCTTAAGGACATACCCATTCATGTTGCACTTCCTTCACAGCACCAACAGCAAGTGCCGAACACAACAACTCCTACAGGGAAACATTTCTTGTTCTTCTACCCAAACCTGTTCCACCAGATCTGACTGCAGCACAAGATGACACCTTTTCCTATTCAAGCTCAGTTCAGATCCTTCTTCTTGATCTTCTATACGCTCAAACATACACAGTTTTTCCCCCTTACAGCCTGTTTTCAGCACATTTATTTGGGCGTAGAGTGGAGCGTAAAATGACTGTTTGGCTGATAACACTGGCCTGTGTGCAGAAAACAAACACCAATGACATCATGCTGCAGAGAAACCCTAAACTACGACCTTGTATTTTGAAGAGCTTTCACTACAGCTGAAGACAGGGGAGAGGAAATACGACACATGGTTAATCATTTTCTTGGTTACATATAAATAGGCATCCAAACACCTGATCGCGATTATCTAATAGGCAGAAGAGTCCAGTAAAGTTCCGAACAACCATGTGACAACAGGTGACGTTAGGCTGACTCAGAAACATGAACCAAAAGCATCAAAGAGTCCCCACACCCCGCACACCACCGTGGGTGTAAGAAAGTCCCAAAACAGCACTTTAAAACTCACTTAAAGAGTTCAAAAGAGCAACATAACAGTTTCAAACAGTGCCTCAAAGCAGATTAAAGTTCTCTTACATTGTCTGAAAAGTTGCCGTTGCGTTCAGAGTCTCGTAAACGTGTTGAGATCCGGAGGGCAACTCGTTCACTAAAGTGCTGCTGCTAGCTAGCTAGTTAGCCAGTTCCGCTTTCCTGACAACTACCCAACGCTGCCGCTCAAACAACTCTGACGGGTGACAAAGGTAGACAGATATTTATCAAGTGAGTCAATACTTACAGGTAAACCTTCCTTGTTTTTAAAAAAAAATGTCCTCGCAACTCCTCCTTCTTGACGGTATGTGAACTTGGCTCTGGGAACTCCTGGATTCCTTCACTAGTTCCGCCGTCTGTCTGAAAGTGTGTCGGTTGGTGCCTTTAAGTGCCGTCGGAAATCCCGCAACTCATTGAATACACGCGTTTTAGACGTTTTGAAAAGCGCACGAACGCGTTGCTCTAGCAAAATAAAAAAATAAATATGATTTTAAAAAAATACATAATCAAAAAAATCACCATGATGTATATGTAAAAGAGCTTTGGACTGAATTTGGAGCGCTATAGCATTAAACTTAATGATTAGTAATGGATTTTAATACAAACTTGCTTTTTTGGTCCCTGTATCTCCTCTGCAGTGGTAGAAAACACTCAATTTCATTTACTCAAATTGTTGAGTGTACTTAAGTATAATTTAGAGGCATGATAAAGCACATTAAATATAGTATGGCATAATATTGCATAGCATAGCATAGCATAGCATGGTCTAGTCTGGTATAGGACAGTATATTTATTATAGTATAGTAGTGCAGTATAGTACATTATAGTATAGTATAGAATATTTAGTATAGTAGTGTTGTATGACACATTACATTATAGTATAGTATAGTATAGTATAGAATATTTATTATAGTATAGTAGTGTTGTATGATACATTACATTATAGCATAGTATAGTATAGTATAGTATAGTGTTACGTCTTGTGCTTTTTACTCTCTTTCATAGTAATAATACTAAACTTCAGGTTTATAGCACCTTTCAAAATTGCAATTACAGGCTCCTTTACAAAAAATAATATATGAAGCAAGCAACAACAAAGATATAAATATGTCAATAATGTAAAATAATAGTAAAGATAATGAAACATTGAAAAGAGCAAGAGCAAAACATCAGAAAAGGGATAACACGGTTTACAAACAAACCTTTCAGCACCGTTGAGTTTTTAAAGCTTTCTGAGCCAGACCATGTGGAGAATTAAAAGTAATCAAAAGAATCTTAAATTGAATTCTGTGACAATTTCAGTGTAATGAATAATTTGGGGAGCCAGGCTCCAATTACTTACTCATAAATGAGAAAAGTTGAAGAAAATAGTTATTTGAAAGGGACAGGGAACACCATAAAGCCTTAGTGCATGATATGACATTATATTTTGAATTGTCGCCTGGTGGCAGAAATGTCCTTTTAGATAAATAGAGACAGTTTCATCATTATTTAAATAATAATAAAAAAAAAAAGGTCACAAATGGGTGCATAAAAATTCATCAGAACGTGGGAACGTAAGTGTTTACTGTTGCTGATTAAAATTTTAAATAAAAAAAACAATTAAAGGCACTTTAGACAAGATACATTTGATGGAACAACCCAGCACAGTATTACCTTGTTTGGCTCCACTTCAAGATCAGCTCAGTGTAGTTTATTTTTTTGCTTTTTTGCTTTGTATTGATCGATTTGGTTTGATCACGTTTTCCAATGTGCACTTCACAGCTGAAGGAGCTTTCAGAGAGTACTTGAACGCAGCACATGACGGTGCGCATGTCCTGTCATATGACTCCAGAGAGAGAGAGAAAAGAGGCGCTGCTCATTTTCCCCACATGAGTGCAGCATTTACCCTTAACCCGGACCTCCCCCCACCCCCGCGCCCTCCTCCCCCACTCCTCTGGGTATTTTACATGAAGAAAGAACGGCTGGATATTTTTCATATTGTTTTCTGAGAGATGCTCTGAAATCTGAGCCTCTAGCATTGAGTCTGCTGTGCAGTTTCCCTCAAGTTTTTATGGTTTTTAAACCACAAAAAGCCTCTCTCAAGGTGACTGCAAAGACACTGGGCTGAGTGCCAGCCAACATATCAGCTGACAATGTCTAAAAAGGCAAGTGTTTTTGTTTTTTTTTCTTCTCTCCACTCTATCTGCAGCTAAATTTCCCCCCCCCCCAGTTGGGTCACCTACAGCTAAAATAACTGCAAAGCTGGAAATTCCAAAATTTGCACAAGGGGTGCTCCAAAGCTGCCCTCACCAAACTGCCCATAGCTCCTGAATGATGCCTAGCTCTCTCTCTGCCCCATGTATCTTTTATAGAGTCTACATAGCATGTATTATTCAGCAATAACACACGGCCCATCTGGATTGCAGCGAGTGTGTTTGTGCGTGCGTGTCTATGCAGGGGTGTGCGGTTCATAGTTAACTTTGCTGCTGTGCAATTTCACCATTTCACGCCACATCCAGCAGCGCTTGAAGAGCTAAGAATTAGTATTTCCTCTGTAATTACAAGTTAAGGTGTAATGTGTGTGCGTTCGACGGAGGATGTGGAGAACAGAAAGAATAGAAAGTAGGGATTGAATGTGTAATAGTGAGTACAGATGGCACGTTCAGGATCAAGCTCTTTCATCATACCGTTCCTCATTAATAGAGACGAGAGTGCTGCCCTAATTCCATAATTCCTAAATCATGCCAGTTAGTTGAATTTGAGGAGACAAAAGTAGAGGAGAATAGCTTAGCCTATAGTCTAATCATGTGTCTGAGAGAGAGAGAGAGCAAGAAGGCAGCAGAAGAGGAGATGAAGGGACTGGAAGAAGGAGGGAAAGAACGGAGAAGGGTCGCCATCTGCATTTCCTGGCTTTGCTTTTTGGTTGTTGCCAAAACCAACATCATATAGGCCAAATTTATTCTTGCCAATTATTGTCCCATGTGCACGCCAGCCAATGAAAACGGCTTAAATAATCAAGTGATTAATTAGATCTGGAAGAGAATACAAGGGGGTATAATAGTGCATGTATGAGCATGTGTGTCACAGCCCACATCACTGGTTTCTCATGAATTCAAGGAGCACATCTGTTAATTTCTGGCTCCGTTCCAGCTGTATCACACATCCATCTTTGCTCTCGCAAGGATTTAGACATGGGAATGTTTCGAGGCCTTGCTTGATCGGGCTTAATTTTACATTAGGCTAATTCCGCTGGTACCTGATACTTGTCAGGACAAAGAATTGGCTGACCAAGCGTGCGTCTCAATATTCAGAGATAATTTCATTCCCCTCGTCTCCTTTTCACTGGAATCTCCGCTTCCTCCTTTTGAATTGAGCTCTCATATGAAGCAATTTGAAGGAAACCAGAGACATTGATAGCCATTAGCCCACTTTGCACAGGAGGGCCAAACATGTCAAGCCGAGGCTCATCTATTATTCATGCACCTCAGTTTTCCTCCAAAAACAACGTTTCTGATATTCTTTTTGCATCACGCTGCCAAAAGTGACAGTGTCAGTGGTTTCAAATAACGCTTTTAAAACAGAGCTGATAAATGTTTCAAGCAAGCACTGGCCCTTACAAACCCCAACGGGGAAACATGTCTATTGTCTGTCTGTCTATTTATATTCTGATCTGGTGAAAACCTACCGAGCTTAAAGAGGACAGGGAATTCACTTTTTAAAATATTTAGCTTGTAAGGTTAAATGAGCTTGTAATTGTTCCATGTTTTGCTCATGGATGGATGATTTTGATGGACATATTTCAAACATGTGTGCTTTGCGTAGGTTCCCGAGGGCGTTCTCTCTCACCAGAAGGCCACACATTATAAACCAAAACAAAAAAACCACAATAAAACCACCATAAAATCTGCTCTGGCACAAGCATGGACACAGGTCTTTTTGGGGGTGTCCTGTGGTGTCTGGCATTAGGACGTTGGCAGCTGATCCTTTAGTCCTTGGATCTTTGGGCTTTTGGGTGGGTTTTGGAACGTCCTGCAGACATCTGGTGAGTTTGGAGGCCGGTCAAGGCTTTGAGCTCTTTGTCGTGTTCCTCGAGCAGTTTTTGTGGTGGAACAGGGCATATTGTTTTTCTGGGGGAAGCTGCTGCCATGTGTATGTTTGGACTGCAGCAGTACTAATGTAAGCATAACATATTAAAGTGACATCCACATTAATACCAAGACCTAAGGTTTCCCGGCAGAACATTGCATTGGAGCAAGACGATCAACGTTTTTCACTGCACCCGTCAGTGGTTTTAATGTTGGAGCTGATTAATGTATCTCTAAAATGCTCTTTATTTATAGATAAGTAGCATTTTAGCTTAGCTTAATGGAGCTCATTTTAACAAACTATATGTGCAGTTGAGTAGAGTCCAGGTTCAAACTGTTACAAGGCAACACTAATAATGGGTTCTACAACACAAATTTGTACCGTAATTTCCGGACTATCAGCCGTTACTTTTTTTCTACACACTTTGAACATTGATGATGTGACTAATTAATGGATTTTTACGAATTTGCCTCGAGACGTAAGCGACATTGAGAGCGACAACGGAAGAGAGACTGAGGAAGTGTGTGACGAAACAATCCTGAGGCTGTTCAATTCCGACACTGAAGAAGATGACTTTTGGTTTTCGTGCGCAGGAGGAAGATGAAGATAGCGATCAATGACTTTTCCTGGTAGGCTACTGTATTTTTGATTTTCTTAACCAGCCGTGTTACAGGCACTGTTTAGAAAAAAAGCATTTATGGTACGTATTTGTGTATGTTACTGGTACGTATTTAATTAAAAGTTTAAAAAATATTTCTGTATGACATCTTTCTTTGTAAATATCTCATGTTATAATGTGGACACCTGTGGCTTATAGACAAGTGCGGCCTGTATATGTACAAAATTTGTTTTCTATTTAAAGTTAGTGGGTGCGGCTTGTATTCAGGTGCTCTCAATAGTCCGGAAATTACGGTGCTAGTTCTTGTTCCTTCTTCTCAAATATTTGCTTTTTTGTGAAGTGGTGGTTCATATGAGTGTGTTGACTCTCTGTTATTTAAATTATATCAGAAGTTTAGAACACCTGTAGGTGGAAATGAACACAACTCATATGCCAAGTTTCCATTCAAATGTAGCTACGAATTTGAACAGAATTTCAAGACTGTCTAAACGAAACAAAAAGAAGAAGCAGCAAATGAACTGTTGTGCAAATATTATGTGCTTGGTCTATTGAAATAAACAACTGTTGACAGGTGGGAACCATAAAATCGTTTCAGGAGAAGAGAGCAAAATGAGATGCCATAATTAAGGAGCACCTGTCAAACCTCAAGCAAACGAAATGTGACATCCATTTGTTACATTTCGTGCACTAACTATTAATTTTTTGGATCAATTATAAAACTGTTTCTTGTAGCCCACATATCTTTTTTTTGCACTTTTTTCTTCTGCAGTTGCTTGTCTTTACAGTGAACTTTAAGATGATGTTGAGGTTGCATGCTTCTTCCATTTGTTGCATTTTTATCAATACACCAGCTTTTGTCTTTTTCAAATTTCAACATTTACCCTTATTATTTAAATATTTCAACTTATGGTAAATACAAGTAGATGGGAACATAGACTGTATAAAAGATGGACGTAGCAAC